GTTGGACTTCAGCAGATGCACTTTATTCCACAAATGGTGCTCTTTTAACTCGTCATGAGTTTGACATGAGCTACATCCATTTCTTGATAAGTTCATTTGCAGTCTTATCTTCTATGAAGATGCTGCAACATTGTGAATTTTGCCTCAGGCTAGGAAAATCACCCAGTAATTGTAAGTAGGTTTTGTTTTGTCATGTTTATGAACTCTGGTAATGTATTGTATCTGCACTAGAACTCTTCCAGTTCTAAGTATTCCCCTACCACTTGGCAGGTATGCCAAATAATTGAGATCAGTTGAGAGGCTGATGAACTGTCTGCAGACTACAACCAGTTCCTGTAATCTGTGATTTTTAGATTTGTGTGCTGCTCTAAATCTGGCTGGAAATAGCCTCTCTACCTCCACGAGGTCATAGTAAGGTTGAGTACATTCTACTTTTCCTAGACCTCACTTGTGGATTTTCACTTGGTATGATGTTGTTGTAGTTGTAATAGTCCGGTATTCCAAAGCAAATAGTTAAATCTGTTTGTATATTGCATACATCTCACCCTTCCCAATAGTTTGACTATCAGAAATATTTTTTCCACTCCAAGTAGGAGTAAGGTCTGTGTTAGTGTGTACACCTCACCCTCTCTATACGTCCACAGTTATATCTGTCTGTATATATTGCATACACCTCACCCTTTCCAATAGTTTGACTATCGGAAATATTTTTTCCACCTCACCGTTTTCAATAGTTTGACTATCAGAAATATTTTTTCTACTCCAAGTAGGAGTAAGGTCTGTGTTAGTGCGTACTCTTCACCCTCTCCAAACGCCCATAATATTTTGGGCCTTCAAAATTTTGTAGAATTAAGAATTGTAGAATCTCTTTTCAACTGAACTCCACCTAGTTGCATCCATTTAACTCTAAGATTTTTATTTCACTGTTCGCGAACTTCTTTATAACAATCACTAAAAGGCAGGGTTAGGTTCGTGTACACGTTATGTAAACATGTTAGGTTTTGAAAAAACTTACGTATTCCTTATTTTTTTTCTACAATAATAGGTTTTGAAATAGAAAATTAATCACTACCAATAATTGTTTGTCAATTGTCACATTCGGGTCAAATTAAAATTCTATCAGACTTAACTGAAATTCTCCTTTTATTATTTTTTCTGTCTCATTTTAATTTAAAAACACAAAATTTAAGAAATATAAATTAAGACAGATAAAACAATTGATTTTCTTTTACCTTCGTCTTTATCAATAATCACATGTGATATTGATAATGATTCAAATCATATGCATGTGAGTAAGTATAATATCGATAATGATTCAACTCATATTTATAAAATTTTTGTCTAACCTAATTGCATGTGAGGGATCAATCGTGACGCTACGTAATTATAAAATTTACCAACCTTGTACTAATATTTTATTTATTTTAAATAACATAAAAGTCAATCTCAAAAAAATATTACAACAAACTATATAAAAAAAAATCATACACGTGTCCACTATAAAATCTTGTCCAATTAAGATTGAACAATCGTGTAGTTATGTTATTGGTTAATATAAATTGCAATTGACACGTAAGCACTTATTATATTTCTATAACCTTCCGTCTCATTTTATATAAGTTAGTCTGACTTTACTCGAAACAAGAAAGAAAGAAATTTTGTGATATTTACGGTCTAAAATAAGAGATAGGTATTGTATAGTTATAGATCATTACATTTTATTTTCTTTCGAAATGGATTGAAAAGAAAAATAAGTGATATAAATTGAGACGGAATAACGATTTGATTTTTATGTATAGAACTTTCTATAACTGAACATATGATTAGGTGAATAAATATTAAAAAATGTACACGTTTCAAATATTAGCCGTCATTAAATTCCACGTAGTCTAAAATGTGGACGATCTTATTTTGCCACGTTGCACTTTGTGGTGTTCTAATTTATACAAGCCTCATATTTATTTTTATTATAAAACATTATATTTCATTTATTTATTTTTTATTTTAAATTAGATGTGCACCATTTTGTAGTGGATTTAAACTTAAAAAGATGCAAATTTTTATTAAATTTATGTGATGATATTTAATTGAACGTAAAATTAAAATATAGAGATTTGTATGACTGAGACTATTTAAGCTCAAATCTATTATGTTTTCATAGTTTCTACGTTTTCTGTTTGATAATTTTTAAATTTTTAAACTTTTTACATGAAATGTTTAAGATCATAGTAAAGGACATTTGATACAATCTATATATCATTAGTTCAAAATAATAAAATTCGAAAACTTTCTTTATTTTCTTAAACTCAGCAAACGAACAAATTGAAACGAAAGAAAAATATATAAAAAAAAATGTACAAGTACCCTCCTAGACTATGACCGAAATTCCAGAAACACATTTTAACTAATTAAACTAGGGCCCTATTACCCCCTGATCCTATTTTTTTCGTAATTTTATGCATTTTTTTTACTTAAGTAACATCTAAATATCTCTTAAGCGCGTCAATTGCATAGAATCACGCAATGTGCTACGTAAAATAAAAGATATACAAAATTACAAAAAAAAAATTCAAGAGATAATATAACCTTAGCTTAGTACAGATGTGTCTCTAAAAATTCGTTCATAAAAATTTATTGCAATTTAAGATTGTATGGGGAAACTTATGTAATAATAACAAAATATAAGCCTCATTAATATAAAAAAAAACATCATTTTCTATAGATTTTACGAATCAATGTGTTTTCTTTTTCCTAACTATAATTATTCCACCGCCCCCACCAACCCCCCCAACCCCACCCCACCCCCACCCCTTACTAGTACTATATAAAGGTGTCTATAGAAATCATGAAAAGCAATAAGAATAAATCATCAAATCTATCAAAAAATAAAACTTTGGAATATTATTTTTTGTGGACAACCATATTATATATTCAAATATAGCAAAAAAATTACAAAAATGGGAGGTTCATCAATGGTTCCATTAAACAGAACATCATCAATTGAAAATGAACCTAGAACTCTAAATCTCAACCAAATTCAGTTTGCTAGAGTAAGTTAATTCTCTTTCCTTTTTTTCGTTAACGATATTCAAGATTTAATATGAATATATTCGATTTAATATATGTATCGATAGCAATATACTTACGTTCAATTTTCTTTTTTTCCAATACAAAATTGATAAATTTTACTTTTATTATGTTAAATTGAAGTCTTAATTAATGGTTCTTGATTTTTGAATTGCAGGATACAGCACTTTATGTTATTAATACAAGAGGTTTAGAAGAAGCAATGAGAATTTTCACTGAGGTAATTATTTTCTATAATCTCAACCCTTTAATTACTCATAAATAGATGTTTCAAAATAATGGACATTGTATTTTTTTTTTCTTTCGGAATGGCTCAGTTGGTTTGAAATATTGATCTTTACTTAATGTTTTTTTGTGTCAAGTCTGTCGCATAAGACTGATTTAGTACAAGTTTATATTTTCTGTATGATTTGTAGGCTATTATATCATGGGGTTTAGCGGTTTTGAGTTTGTGATTTTTTTTTTTTTTAAAAAAACTAACGTCGTGTAGAAAAATAATTTTAATTTTGATAAGTACATTACTTAACAATTTTTTTATTTAGAAAATTGAAAGACTTGTTATATAATATTTATGAGTACCTAACTTTTGGTTTACGTGTTCTATTTTTATCTTACCATAATTAGTGGTATTATTCTAAGTTAATGAAGTGTCTTTTGTTTATTTTACGTAGTGTATTTGCATGGCGCAATTGGATTGCCTGATGAAATTAATTATAATTAATTAGTGTACCACCTTTATGTTGGACCTATCATTATAAATAGGGATTTAATTAAGTTCATAATATTTTAAATATAATTTATTCTTAAGAAATCCAGTAGAAGTATGATAAATAGTAAATATCAATTCAGATATTTAAGATATAATGAAATTTAACATTTGAAGAGATTAAATTTATAAAATTTTTAACTCTTAAATCTAATTTGTATCTATTGGTTGATATAAAGTTAGGTGAACGATAAAATGATGTTTTTTATTAGGTGTAGAGTCGTAATAAAGAAGTAAATTTTTTGAATTTGTGCATAACCTTTTGTTTTAATGCTAGGGACTTATTATTAAAATTAAAAGTGTGTTACATTAATTGAGACGACGGAAAGTATTGTGTTTTGGCTTAGGTCGTATGCTTTGGTAAAATATAAATAACTTTGTATTATCATCTCATTTTTTTTTATAATTTTTTAATATTTTATTTTAATTTTGTGTTTAATAGGGATTGGAACCAGTTTCTCAATGTGTACATGACAAAGAAGAAGTTATCATGGAATATGCTGAGGAATTAGAGAATTTATCAAATCCTTTAAGGATTAATCCAGAAACTAGAGACATTGCTACTGCTCCGTTCTAGTTTAAACATAAACAGTTCGATATATGAAGCATTCTGAATGAAAAAGAATAATCGTATAATCAAGAGGTGCGATAAAAACGGGAGGCGTAGTTTCAAAAGTTTGAAACTATAATTTATACTGTGTTTTTTATCGATGTTTGAAGACTTTTTTGTTACGCTACTTTCGGATGTATAAATTAATTTAGTTCTAGGTTTTGTGATATGTATCACAAGAAAGAAGAAGTGTAGGAAGGCTCTTTGTTCTATAGGTTTTGGGTGTTCTTTCATTTTTTTTAACTTTTTTTTAACAAAGTACATATTTAATGCTTTATATAGAATGGAGGTCGTTTGGTTGAAAATTAATTAGTTGAAATTAGTTATATTAGAAATTTTATACATATATATATATAATATAATTACTTGATGAATATATTTATGTGTGATATTGAACTTGTATCTTATGTGTCTTGATTTTTTTTAGTTTAATATTTATGAACGTACGATTTGCAAATTGCAACTTCTATCATTTGTCTCGTTATTTATAATAAATAATATACATTACGATAAAATATACATGTGATATAAACAGACTTGAGATGTAAATTGAAGTGTAAACATATTTACTTGTAATTGGTGTTCGAGCCAATTTTTGTACACCTCAATTAAATTTACGAAAATTCACTCTTTCTATCAAAGATATTAATGAACTTGTAAGTAGTGGTCGAGCCAATTTTTGTACACCTCGATTAAATCTATGAAAATCCACTCTTTCTATCAAAGATGTCAATGGAACTGTTCAGGGCTCTCACTTCATCCTATTTACAACTCTCCCTTGAACCTATTTCACTTTCTAGGGAGCTGTTGACTAATGACCTGAGTATGTGTGATGCCTGGGAAGCATGAGTAACCAACCCTTCGCGCACGAGATAGTAGTTACAGGAGATTGATCGGTTGGGGTCGAGTGATCTCAGGGGTGCGACTACCCCGCGCTCCTTTCAACACATAAGTAACATGGCAATCATGACTAAATTGCTTCACTGATTATACTACTGATGCACCATGTGTTGAGAGACTGCAAAAAAGTGACATCCTCTCATGGTATCAGCACAAATATTTACACTTCCTCAGCTTATATCAGAGAAATTACTCTTAATGTAATTGAAAAGAACCACAAGAGCAGCAAGATGGGATGGTTGATCAATGGAAAACAAGAAAGTACAAAAGCAAGGGACTAATGGATACCTATAGCTGTGGAAGAACCAAGAAGCAATTGTGAACGAACAGAAGCAGACATCTATAGCAGATGATGTGCAGAACATACACAAAGCGATCTCTTAGGTGACTGAAACAGCACAATTCTTTGATTTGATTAAACGGATTTATAGTACCATTTGATGCTCTCCACAATATGGTCCTAGGCCAAGGTAGCTCTGCCACTTTTGTCTTATCTGCACGAACACTCCCCGTGGCTGAAGTAGGTTTTGGCTTTTCAAGTGCAGTCCGCTCAAACATACAAGGGCATGGAACCAAACGAAACTGTTAGGGGGACAGCGCAATCTTGGACTTATCTGCTATCCTGTGGCAGGAGAAGTTTGAGGAATTAGGATCAGATCACACAATGTGTCTTCAATCAATGACAATTGACAACAGGACATCTAGAGAAAGCGGTAGTTGCTTGTCTAAGTAAGAAACCCTATTTCAAAAACTAACTTGCACTACAAACAAAAGTATATCAGAAGCAGTTTAAGGAAAAATATACAAACCTCTGAAAAAAGGAAAAGAAACTAGTTATTTTCCTTCCAATACCAATCAACAAGGATGTGAAGACAACATACCCAAAAACAATTAACAAGAGAAATTTGTGGGTTGTGTTTATCAATGAAATTTTAAGTACAAATCTCAACTGAGTTTCAATTTGATAGACCTCTCTTTACTTTCAGACTATGAGATCATGTAGTTGCGCTACTTCTAAATTTTCATTAGTCTACAAATCAAATATCACTTTTAGTCGAAGTGTATATACAGAAGTCTTTTATTCAAATGCATAACCATTACATCTTTTTTTTCCTGATAATTACAGAATTCATTGATATGTCCACCATGATTGTATGATAAGTTTATAAAGGAATCATAATACTAGGACTCCAGAAAATCTAGCCAACCCTCAGCAAGTTGGCATTTCCATTAAACGCCAACAAGCAAAAGAAAGCAGGGGGGGGCATGCATTTCTTCTCTTTTTTGCGAGATATCCTTTTGATCTTGAATATAGATCCTTGTAAAAAAATCTCAAAGAGAACATTTGACCCTCAACATCAGTTCTTGATCCCTATAAAGGTTCTGCGCTTTCTTGCTTCCTGAGATAAACAAGAAGGGGCCGACTTCCATCTGTTAATCTCTGCCTCACCATTGTCTTGGCTACTGTTCTAGGAAGCGCCCATAAGATGCAGAATGTTGCATATATCAATAAATAGTTCTAATGCAAAATTAACCATGCAATAAAAGGTGGTCCTCAATTCATCCTCTCCGTGCCTCTTGCACATGTACCACCAACACACTACAATGCATCTTCTCCTTTTTTGAGATAAAGGTAACTGAATGTATCTTCTCCTTCTCAAGTCATCTGCTATAAAGATAGTTCCCCTTGGAAACACAACCAATTGAAGACGCCTAGCTTGTGTGGTGCTTAAGAACTACTTAGTCCAAGTAATTTAACTAAAACCAATATTTGAGCAATTAAGGAGTTCTGCTGAAAAAAATCATCATCTACAAGGGCCGATACTGTAGCTTTCAATTCTTTGTTCTTTATATGGAACCTGTATCTCTCAATTTCTTTTTTGATAACCGTGGTGTGCAGATCAGCTTCCATGTGCTTCGACCAACTCCACAGGGTATCTGCTACTTTGCTATTGCTACCTTGCACCAGCATGAGTAGCTTTCAATTTTAAACCTCTTGTGAATCTTAATGACGTTTTTTAAAAAAACTAAAGATTTAGAGTTAAACGAAAAAAAGACTTGCGATCCCTTGCAAATCAACTATATGGAAATAATTGAAAGCAAAATATAGTTGGCTACAATTGTAGAATGTCCTATATTTTGAAAATTCTATGCCACCACATTCAGTATGTCCTTAATTTCATAAGTTGACCACCTTTTCCATACCAGATATAAATGATAGATGAAAAGAGCTCAAGAATCCTTATCCATCTTGGGTATTCACAGCATCTGGAACAGACCTATAAGCTGACACTACCTTCCTTTCAAAAACTAATACATTCCATTTATGCAGCTGCAAAATTAGCTTCAATCAACTCCTAAAACTCCTTACATTAAGCACCCCACCCCCAAGGCTGTGGCCTAGAGGTCCATGAAATGGTTGAAAACCATGAGGTCCCAGGTTATTCTCAGCGGAGACAAAAAAAAAGGTGATTCTTCCCATATGTCCTAGCCTAGTGGACAGAGTTACCAGGTATTTGTTGCTGGTGGGAGGTGGCAAGTATCCCGTGGAGTTAGTCAAGCTGTGTTTCCTATATCAAACATCCTCCATCTAATCTGTTTGCATATCTAAGAAAACATGTAATTTGGTCAATTTCTCAAAGTGAAAAAGCAGAATTTCAGTGATTTTAAGGACAACTTTCTTTCTTTCCAATAAAAAAACAAAAGGAACATAATCTATTGCACATAATCTATCAGGAATTACCAATCTAGCAGAAATTTGTCCAAGCTACAAATAGTTTAAGAATAAACATGGAACTTTTCCTGTTTATTTATAGTTTTTCTTGAATGGGTTAAGCAGGAACTGGCTCCATACGTGAGGAGAAAAACTTAGAAAATAAGTTCAACTAGAAAGTCATTCTTTTCCTAGAACAGTAAGGAAATGAGCTAAATTAGGAAAAGCTAAGAAATATGATAGAAATAAACGCAAAACTAAGGAGGTGCCACAGAAAAAAGTACACTACATTTATCAAACAACCATACAAACATTACCATAAAACCATCCACCAGCTGCTTGGTTCCTTGATCTACCCAGCATATGCAACTAACTCAAAGCACAAGGAAGAAATCTGGACCCACAATAACGAACCAGTTTCTAGAAATCAAAAGAAAAGGCCAAAAAAGAAAAATCAATACATGTTAGCTCCAACAGGGGATGGGAGTGATATAGACAATGAGAAAGTATGATACAGATGAGTCACAAGAACATGAAACAATGGGACTTTTTAGGACAGGTACTGGAACTGTGAAACAAAATGTAAAGCCCCGTCAAAACTCATATGACTTTAAAAGACTATACGGTGCACAAATTATTAATTTGGCCATCATTTTACATGTCAAGGCTGACCGAGGACGAGGAAAATATTGCATGGCATGATATTATATGTATATGCTGGTTTGAGGAGGCACACAATTCTATCAGCACTGAATTTTCAAGACAACTGCTTAATACTGAGGACAATGCAAGAGCACTAAATCACTATCCTGATAAAATGGATCAGAAAGAAAACAGGAAAAAGATAAAAGGAGACATGGTTGTCTAATGATATTGAAAAAGTAAATCATACAATCAAAGATAAATACTGAAGGCCATGCAAGAAGATGACACAAGAAGTTCAAAAAAGCAACAACGCATGGATGTGGCAACATGCTGAAACTGGTTGGAAATGATAAGGCAAGCACCTGTTATTTCAATCTCCAATATTAGGATGACACCCCTATTATCACACATAAGAGTTTTAGCATTATGACGCAACCCTTGTTTTTTCCAAGAACAAGAAGGAATCAGCAAAAAAGGCAATAATTGAGAAAATCATTAAGTTCCAAAGATGATGATCTAACCCAATGTGCAGATGTTGCCTTGACTCCATTGTGTCATTAGAAAATCAAGTAGATATATGTGCTTTTCAAGTGCCCAACTGTGCTCAAGCAAGTATATAGCTGTGTTGCGTTAAAAACGTGAGGTAGCAAAAAGTCCAACCAGATGAGTGTGAACTTTGTGCCAGGTCAGTTCATTCCTGGTTTGCACTTGCTGATCTCTGGGGAAGTAAATTCACTAAAGATGTATATGTAACTTCATCTAAACCAACTCCTGTATGGGAAATATGATCTAAAAGTGAAAAGGCTTCTTCTATCTCCCCTTCCTTTAAAAGCCCCTTCGTCAAAACGTTATAGGTGACCGAATCAGGAGTATTTCCTTTCTGTACCATCTCGGCGAAATACTCCTTAGCTTCTTTAACTTTACCAGCTTGACAATACCCATCTATAATGACTGTATAAGTTATTTTATTAGGTTGTATATTGTGTGATAACATTTCCTGCAAAATGCTCCTTGCTTTATCCATCTGACCTAACTTACAATATCCACCTATCAATGCAGTATAACAAACAACATCAGGTAGAACTCCCTCCTTACGCATCCCATCAATAAGGTTCTCAGCATCTTCAATAAGCCCAATATTGCTCATGCCATGTATAAGAGAGGAATAAGTGACAACATTTGGTAGAATACCTCTGCTTCTAATGTCATCGCGAAGTTTAAGGGCTTCTTTCACATTTCCGTTTCTACAAAAAGCTCCAATAAGAGTGTTATATACAATTAAATTTGGGGCTAAGCCTTGTCTGAGCATCTCATGGAAAAGGTCCCTGCCCTTTTCAAGTTGGTCAGCTTTGCACAAACCATTAATTAAGGCTCCATAGGTATAAATATCGCAGACAAGTCCCTTGCTTCGACATTCATCCCAGAGCAACAAGGCTTCATCTACTTTACCCTTCTCACCAAGCCCATGAAGTAGCACATTATAAGTTGAAACATCAGGTGCAATGCCTTGCTTCACCATTTCTTCTCTCAACATAAAGGCGCCATCCAAGTTTCCCTCTTTGCAAAATGCACATATAAGAGTGTTATAAGTCATGCTATCTATTTGAACACCACTTTTTAACATTGTTTTCAACAGCCGAACAGCCTCTTGTATGTTACCAGCTTCACAAAGTCCGTGAATTAGAGCATTTGAGGTAACTGTATTGGCAGTGAGCCCTTTCATTAGTAGCATATACCAGAGCTCAACTGCCTCTGAATGTTTTCCTTCCTTGCAAAGCCCACTAATTAATGTGGTCAGCAACCCATCATTTGGCCTCAAACGTCTTAATGTCATTTCCTTAACAAAACGTAGTGCAGCAACAAACCTAGAATTCGTACACAGTACAAGGATAATATTACTGAATGAACCAGGATTTACACCCAATCCATGTAATAACATCTCTTCTAAGAATTCTTCAGCTTGACTAACTTGATTTACCTTGCAGAAACCTTTGATCAGTGAATTGTAAGTAGCTGAGTTGGGAAAAATTCCTTTTGTTAGCATTTCATTCCTTACCTTTAGAGCTTTCTGAATATCTCCTGCTGAGCAATAACCATTAATGATGGTATTATACAACACCTCGTTCGGAACAAGCCCTTTGTTTGACATTTCTTTCAACACACAATCAGCTTCATCAAATTTCTCAAGTTTCATCAGACAATTAATAAGCATGCTATACGTGACAATACTTGGGTTAACACCATTTAATATCATTTCTTCCTTTAGAAGGAATGCGTCTTCTAAATTACAATTCTTGCAAAGCCCGTGAATGAGGTTATTATAAGTGACAACATTTGGCAAAATACCCATGTTTTCCATCTTCCGAAATAACTCCTGTGCTTCCTCCACCTTCCCCCCTTTACAGAAAGCATTGATCGCGGTGCTAAACAAGTAAACATCTGGTTTAACACCGTCCTTCAAAATCTCAAAAACCTCATAACTCTTCCAAAGCTCATTCTCTTTCACAAGAGAACTCAACAGAAAGTTGCAAGTTTTCAAAGAGGGATACACTCCCCTACTTGCCAACGACCTGAACACATCCAATGCAGCATCAAAACCAACACTTTTGAATTGAGTACAACACAAATGAAGCAAAAGATCAAAAGTCCTGACAGCAACACCAAAATCCGACACACCACTTAACTCCGCTAACGAAACAGCAACCTCTACATGCTTTTGTTGTAAACTATCAAACAATGCAGGTAGTTTCCCATCAATTAACCTAATCAAAAGCAACCTAGCTGGAGCATCATGATTCGAAGCAATAAGCAAACGAACCAAAGTACAATAAGATCTAACAGTAAAACTAAAACTACAAGTACCAGAAGCTACGTGGAAGAATTTCAAAACATTCAATGGTTTCAAAGACGAATGAATTTCCAAGAAAATAGCATCAAACTGTTGAGGATTCAAAAGGGTCAGTAAATCTTTAATCTTTAACGAATCTACAGGTGGGTCTGAAAGAACTGAAACAACCCACTTCCGCAAATTCAAATCTAATCCCTTTATCTGTTTCTTTTCTGAGCTGGGGTTAGGCTTATTTGAGTCCCCTTTTTGTAATGGTTCACTGATTTGATCTGAAGAAGCAGTATAAATCACACAAGTTAAAGGACGTTTGATATGTGAAAATATAGCTATAGTTTTGGGAATTTTCAATCTTCTTACGTCCATCTATCAATATTGCACGCATGTGTAAGAGAAGAAAAATGGGTTTACGACAGAGATGAAAGTAGAAATGGTGGCGATGAAGCCATGTGTGTAGGGAAGAAGAAAGGCCACGAAGATGGAGTTTAGCTCACAGGGTTTTGCCTTCGGTAGTTTGATCGGAGACCGCAGACAATTTGGGAGCTTTTGGGCTGATGAAAGAAAAGTCAAAGTAGGCCCAATATTGAAATTTTTTTGGGCTAAGAATATATATTGGGCCAACAAATGTTGCAAGTCTTGAAAATATTTAAAAGTTAGGAACAATGATAGTTTGATGTTTAATTATCAGATATAGTGATAGTTTGTATAATTACGATTCATACGTTGTATAGAACTTTTATTGTTTGTTGACAAAGAGAAAAGTTCTTTGTTTAGGTCCTATTCTAATTCTGTACTGACAGCGACAGTGATATTCTTACCGTTTGTTTTGTATCTTTTTGCTTTATATCTAGTGGATATACTGTATCTATTTGTTCAACCTAATTGTATCAATACATATCATAGTTAGATTCGTCTTAAACTTCTATTTTACGAAGAAAGATAGGAAATCCTCTATCCCCAAGCCCCTTTACTATGTTGGGCAAGCTTTTTGATGCCTCTACTTTCAAGAAGTTGTTGGTCGGGAAGACAATTTTGATAATTCGATTGTTCGAGTTCCGCTTTTAAATTTTCTTTTCAGAAATCCATCAAATTTCACTTTGCATGTGCACAAAGATATCCTCAAATTTAAGATATGAACTTTTCAATGATATACTAAATTTTTAAGACATCACTCGTTAAAACTAGTAACAATTTTTGAAATTCCATAAAATAATTATGTTTGGTACAATATTTTAATTAATGTGATTAAGTTAATGATAGTTACTTCCAAAAGGATCAAATACTAATGTGATTATGTGAATAAGTTAAATCACTACTTATAATAGTTACTTCCCAAAAGGACCAAACACTAATGTGATTATGTGAATAAGTTAAATTACTACTTATGAAAGTTATACTTCCCAAAAGTTTATTATAATCCAAATGTATGGAACATTATTATTTTGAAAACTCATCCAAGCCACAATTTTGGAGTAGATAACAAATATCTTATCAAATTAATTATGACGTACGTAAATTAATTTAAACATCATAATTACTAAGAAAACATAATTTACTTTTTAATTTATTTAAATATTATTCATTATATTTTTGTTAATTTATTTCTTAGAAATATTTCATTTGTTGTCCAAGATTGATCAAAAATAGAATATAGTCTTCTTCCCACTCATTATGCACCGGACACTAGGCTATAGAATCAAAAAGGCAACAAATAGATCTATCAATTACTTATTATATAAATATTCAAAATCTCCTTTTCCCCTTTTTTCTCTTAGAAAAAGAGATGAAAGAAATAAATACTTCTTTCCTTTTATCTCAATTTTTAATAATATGAATCAAAAAATATTTACGAATAAAATTTTCATTGTACTTTTAAATTTTATGCAAAGTTGGAACGAGACTTTTAAGGTAAAATTACTATCATCTAATTAAAGAGGTCATACGTTTAAGCAATTAGCTCTCGTAAATATAAGATCCGATAGTATACAATAATTTTTAATGATCAACATTTCCTTCTAACTCTGTATATAGTGACGACTTAAGCACCTTTTCCAAAGAGATTTTTAACGGTAAAGTTATTATCACGTTATCAATAAGTAAGATTGATATGCATAATTTGTTATTGGTTCAATTTTTTGTTGGATTATGCGTATAGTGATAACTTAGTGTATCGAAAAAAAAAAATCAATTTCACAGCTCACTTTGCCAGTATCTATACTGTTGCTTTTACCGTCAGCTTCACAAAGCATCAGAATCTCTTCTCCACCAATACTTCGCCCTAGAGAAGAACATGGCGATGCCCATTTCCCAAGAAATGTAAAGTTTCCACATTTCTACATATCGGATCAAACTGAGTACTCTGTAAACTGTGTAGTTCTTGAACCATTCCAAGTTTCAAACATACATACTGTCGTTCTGTATCTTTTAAGCTTTTTACCCTCGAAATGCACGACCCAACGCGCCTGAAATCTCAACCCCACCACCACAATCGCCGCCGTGAACCGCCGTCACATCATCGCCGAGCTTGGTGTTGCTCCTTTACTGTACCACCACATAGTCCGGAGAACCCAGCTGTAGTTCCGGCTCAAAATCCCAAGAAGACCCAATCTTTTCTAAAACCGGAAGTACCCACAAAGTCTTCTTCCAATTCCTTATCTTCTTTCCCTAATTCTCCTCAAAACCCCTCCAGACTGACCCGAATTGACCCACGTCGGATCCTCTCACCGGGTCGGGTTTCTCCGATTGATTCTATTGACGAAACCCTAAACCCAACTGGTCCGGTTATTTTCCCTGAGATACCCAAGTCGCCGACTCCGGTTGATTGTGAGCAGCAAGCTAGTGGTGGTGTTGGGGTTAGGGATGATTGTAGTTTGGGGATCTTTGATGTGAGGTTGAATCTGAAGGGAAAGAATGGTAGTGGCTTAGTGTTGGAGCTTAGCTCTGAGGTTCTTAGTACCAATAGTTCTGTTTTTGCTAATTTGATTGCTGACTATCGGAAAAATTCGAGGGGTTTCTGTAGGATAGAGGTGCCTGATGTGGAGAATTTAGGTGTTTTTCGCGATACAATTGAGCTTATGTTTGAGGATGATATTCCTCGGAAACTTCTCAGGGTGGGTGCTTATCGCGCCATTGATGTGCTCGAGGTAATCATCTGAAGATCTATAATTTATACTACATCAATCATTTCAAGTGTTCCCAACTTATTTTATTTGGAAAGCATTAGTAGGTGTTTATTAGACTAAGATAGAAATGCTGTGAATTAATTAAGCTTTGTTTCCGAAAAGGTGATGAATAATTTGGTTATCAAATTTGTCAAGTCAATATAGGTTAGTTAATTTGGAACAGTGGATGTAGTTGAGTTACTTAAAAACCGAATATTTGTCAAATGACTATTAGGTATTGGGGTGTATTGATGGTGATTCCTGAATGAATTACTTGTTTATTTTAGACTCTGGAACTCCTCGTATGTTTTGAAGCAGTGGGAATAGTATGTAGACACCTCGTGATGAAATAGGCGACATATTTCGTGTTTGAACATTAATTAGGCACACAGACCTTAGCAGAACAATTGGAAATAGCACATTTATTCTTAAATACTTACTTGTTCATCTAAGAATATGGAACATCCCACATGTTTTATCAAATATAGAAGAATATGTAGAGAACTTGAAGAAGTTAGCATCTAATATTCCATGTTTGAAGGCTTATTAGATAAGCTGCTAAGGTTGGAACAACCACATAGACTCATTAGAAATTGCATGGTTGGTTCAGTTTCCTGAGGTTAATTCTTGCACTGCTAGTCCCTTGAAACCCCAAAGTTCTTTCCGGCATATTTATGGTACAAGGCTAATTCAGTGTTCTTAATAGAAGTCTGACTATTTCCTTAAGTCTAGTGTATGGCTGGGACCATTCTCTTATAGGTAAAGTTCTATAGTAAACTTCCTCTTCTTTATTCTTGAACAAATTTCTAATTGCCCAATGAAAGTTGCAAAGCTCTTAAGGTGGTGCAACCTCAGTTACTCAGTGTGATATAATGCTGCCGTCCGACATGTCTCCTTTACTGTATTCTTTTCATCATCCAGTTAAATTCTTCCTTATATCTCCAACCTTTCAAAGTCTCATGAGGCTCTATAGTCCCGTAGCTTTCAGGATGCATACTAAGGTGCCTGAAATGGCCAGAGCTTTACAAAACAGTGGAGCAAGTTTGTTCTACATAACTGATACCTGCAAAAAGCCTTTTAACTTTTGTATTTGATGTGGGTCTTTCTAACTTTCTGAAGCGGGTTGATCTTTGTTTTCCTAATTGTGGAAGCAAAAACTTATATAACTTTTCTCTAACATGGAGAAAAAATTTGTAATAATTTTCTCTAATTTCTGAATATTAGTTATAATGGAACTGCTAAGTAATGTCAAGTAGGAAAAAGCTTTGCCTTGTGGCCAGTAAAACCTGTAAACACTTTTGGTTGGTATTTTTTCCCAGAATGCGTCTGCACCCTTTTGTTTCTTTAGTCTTCTAAATGCCTATCATATCAGTCCTCTGGTCAAGTTCTGCATTCTACTAATTTTTCTGCCTAATGACTTTTAAGTATTAAAAACTGCTTGAGATTGCTATTTCTGTTACTAACTGAATTCAATGTGAAAGAGGAGTGTCTTTGTTTTGTAATTGTTCTTATCTCGTGGAATTTCGGGTCTCTTTTTCCTTGTTCCACCATTGGTTTTACATGGCACTTGGTAGCCAGTTTAAGCTTTTTCTTCCCCATCTTCTTAGGGTACTGAATTGTTGTACATACAGTGAAGATCCTCTTTTATTGAATCGAGAAATTTGACCTTACATCTTCCATGAAAGGAAGAATGTTCATTGTGTGATGAACTCTATGGGATCGATTGACAGGACGCATTAGAAGGTCTAATACATGCATCAGTTATGTTATTATTTGATCTTTTGTTTGGTAGGATTTTGAGCCTATATAACTAATATATGTATTGGATATCTACACTATTCAGTATTATAGGGTGTATATCTAATACACAGCAAACCATGGTACTAGCAATTTATACATGGATAAATATGGGTAAAGATAATATTACTCTTGATACACGAAACCAAACAGTGGATAAGAAAATTCTAGTATTACTAATACACCCTATTCAGTACTATTATATACACTCTACAAACGACTCCTATTGGTTTTCACACAATAAAATACACGCCTGGTTGTTTGGCTAGTATTTGACTTCTCTCACTCCCCTATCTTCAACTTGTCTTGGTGGTTTCATGCTATCCCTGGTTAATGTTTAGGTATCAGCTGGAATCAAATTCAACCGGAGTGTTTTATCGTGTTTGAAGTACCTTGAAGCTGTTCCTTGGACTGAGGAAGAGGAAGAGAAATTGAGAAGATTGTTTAATAAAATGAAGTTTGATCATGAAACAGCTAGAGACATTTCGGCCAGACTCTATGCTCTAGATATGACAGATTCCCAACAGACTTTGTCTAAGCAGCTTGTTTGGTCTGTGACCACCTGCATTGATGCCAATTCAAGAAACGAGCTAAAATCCTTAGTCAAGGGTCTCCTGTGCAGAAGCTCAGTCTATGAAAAGGACTGTTCTGATCTGAACAAGGTGGATATATTTGCAATATGCCTGTCTTGTATAAGTTCACTTGTTAGTTTGCTTGAGGAGGCAACTGCTACGAGTCCATCTGTAAAATTGGCTAAGAAAGAAGACCGGACCTTGATTGACCGCATATCTAAGCAGGTTGACAACATCATATGGCTGCTTGAAATTTTGCTAGATCACCAGATGGCAGAGGACTTGGTGGATATATGGACCAAACAAAGTCAGTTGCTTGCAATGCATAACTGTGCATCTCCATTGGTCAGATACGAACTTAGCCGGGTGACAGCTATGTTATTCATAGCAATGGGCACTGGGAAAATGCATTGCCGCTCTGAAGCAAGGTCGGGGCTTCTTCAGACATGGTTTAGACCAATGCTGTTGGACTTTGGATGGTTACAGAGATGCAAAAAAGGCCTAGACATGAAGGCATTGGAGGAAGCGATGGGTCAAGCACTCCTTACTCTTCCTTTGAAGGAACAATATGCTCTGTTTATGGATTGGTTCAAGTGTTTCTCTAAGCATGGTACTGAATGCCCTAACCTAAGCAAATCATTCCAGATATGGTGGCGACGATCGTTCTTGAGAGGCTCTGAAACTCATGCCAGTGAATCTAGGTAGAATTGCTTGTATTTTTAGTCCTGTTTTCTTTCTAGTGGGAATGCTGTAACTTGGGCAATCTGAAACGAAATCAATAATGTAGATTTACTAATTGTTGTGAGAGGAAATGGAAATCCAATTCAGTATATATGATGCTTTTACCATGATAGAGGATCTACTTCTCTTCAAGCATAAATACATAAGAGTATTGGTATTGCTTTTACCCTTAGATGCCTAGAATTCATGTGTACACTTATGTTAGTTTTTTTCTTCTGATTATTTGCATATAAAGCCCTTCATTGTTTGATTTTGACACTTTTGACTACTTTACTAACTGAATGGTTTAGCTTTTAAAAGCCTTCCCATTTAAGTAATCTTTAATTCCTTGTATTCTTTTAAAGCTAGTCCTTGTTAAAAATCAAAAAGGAAAAAGGAAACGTAAAAGAGGGAGTGTGTTGCACATTGCAAAGAATCTACACAGGGAGAAATGACTTGCAACCCTGTAAATCATCTCTAACAAGCACAGAAGACTAGATGAATCAGTAGAATATTTAAGCTGTCAACTTTCTCAATGAATAATTCAGAAGAATGAAGGTCATTTGACTCCGCGAATAAGAAAGAAATCTCATGCATCAGAGGTTGAAAAAAAAACTTTCTTGTTTAAATAAGAAAAATGGCATTAGAAGTGCTTGATGTTATTAAGAATGTCTGATAAGAACTTACAAATAATATCATTAAAAGTTGGATGGTTACCACTTACAAGTGCTTGGATGTTAGATTTTCGCCTTTGGAATAAGACTTGGCTGTTGAGTTCCAATTTCTCATAAACGCGATAGTCCTGGTGTATCCACCCCACATTTTGGATTCACAGATCCAGCTTCCAGGTTCTGTCAAATGCTCAAATTACTGTCACTCCACCCTTCTCAGACTCCATTTTGTGGGACTACACTGGATATATGTTGTTGTAATCACCAAGAATCCCCAATTGATTACAAGTGCTTGGATTGTTAGATTTAGACACCAGGGTTAGACTTGGCTGCTCAGTTGCATTTTTGTTTAAATGCAACTGGTTCTGTTGCATCCTACCTTAACTGGATTTCACAAACATCCTGCTTCAGGTACTCTCAATGCATGAGGAACTTCTCAAGATTACAATCTCAATCACCAATAATCTCCACATGAGCAGATACCTTCATTGAAGTGATGATAACGGTTAGCATCTCTAACATAAATTTCTCTCCCTTCAAAGCTGGAGATGAATTTGATAAAAGTATGGCAGTCACCACAAATTCTAAGGTTCTTAATGACTCTTAGAGAAGTCCCTGGGTTAGTGTTCAAAATTCCTAAAACGACAGCCAACTTCTCACTATGCCCACACAAGATCAACTCCTTATCCTGTTCTTCAACATCTTGCAAAACAAGTTCTGTATCATGTGAAACACCTGTATTCTTCATGTCCATGCTTAATTTTCGCAACTTTTCCATAATCTGTGGCATTTGAGGATGTAAATCATCTCCTGCTAATAGCATGTGTACTTTGTTTTTGATTTCAATCCAACTACATCCTGGATTTTTACTCAAGCCCACATGTTTCATCATGTCCCTTACCTTGTCTACCTCATTCCATCTGTTGTTAGACGCATAAATATTGGATAGTAAGATGTAATTTCCAGGATTCTTGGGTTCAAGTTCAAATAGTTTATCAGCAGCAATCTCACCCAAACTCATATTACGATGTGTTCTACAAGAACTCAGCAAAGCACCCCAAACACATGCATCTGGTTCAATTGGCATTGTGGAAATCATATCATAGGCTTCTTTAAGCTTTCCTGTGCGACCAAGAAGGCTGACCATACAAGCATAGTGCTCTACTCTGGCCTCAAGTCCATGAATTCTAGACATACAATCGAAGTAATGCTGCCCTTGCTCTGTAAGGCCTGCTTGACTGCATGCAGATAAAACACTCGTGAAACTAATGAAGTCAGGTTTCTGCCCACTTCTTCGCATTGAGTCAAAGATTTCAATAGCTTCCTTAGCCTTACCATGCATTGCGTATCCACTGGTCATTGCATTCCAACAAACCAAATTACGTACTGGCATCCTGTCAAAAATGACGCGAGCCAACTGAATCCTTCCACAATTGGCATACATATCTATTAATGCACTACTGACATAGACGTCATCTGAAAACCAATTTCTCAAAGAGAAGCAATGTGTTGCCTTTCCATGTACTAGTGCTGCGATATTGCCACATGCGGGAAGCAAACAAGAGATAGTTACAGAATTAGGCCTCACCTTAGCCAACTGCATTTCTCTAAAAATCTCCAGCGCTTCAAGGTCTTTGCCATGTTGCGAGCAGGAAGAAATCATCGAAGTCCACGAGACTACATTCAATTCCTTCACTTTGAGCTTAAACTTTTTGAAAACTTTAAAAGCCTCATCAACAAGACCATTCCGTGATAGCCCAGCAACCAAAGCATTAAAACCACCCAAATCTATTTCCTCTGCCCCTTCAAACACTCGTGACATCTCCGAAGTACACCTACACTTCCCATACATATCAACTAACGCGCTGATAATACAGTTATCAGACTCAAAACCCGTTTTAATGACATGACTATGAACTTGAACACCCATCTTGAGATCCTCCAAGTCACTTACTGCAGGAAGAACACTCGAAATACTCGTCCCATCACTCCTAAACCCGTCCGAATTCATCCTCTGAAACATCAAAACCGCCTCCAAATAACATCCACTCTGATTAAACCCCGCAATCATCCCATTCCACGAAACAAGATTCGGCTCAATACCCAACTTCCCACCTTCATCAAACACCATTTTAGCATTAAAAACATCCCCTTTCTTCGCATAACCACCAGATAAAGCACTCCACGAAACCACATCCGGCTCACGCATTTTATCAAACATCTTACGTGCACATTTCAACTGATCACATTTCACATACATATGAACTAAAGAAGCTTCAACAAAAGAATCCAACGCCAACCCAGTTGTTAAACCATATCCATGAACTTGTTTCCCAACTTCTGACGCCGATAACCCAGCACACGCTTTAATAGCACTAGGAAGTACATGTACATCAGGTAAAATACACTTCGATAGTAACCGAGAAAATAAAACAAGGGTGTAACTAAAAAGATTAGATTTTGATGAAGCGTGAATGAGAGATTTGAAAGAGAAGATATTGGGGTTGGGAAGCGAGTGAAGAAGAGATTCTGCATTAGCAAAGCAATTGAAGTTGGCGTAGAGGGAAAGGACCTTGTTGGTGAAATGGGTGTCACTGGAATGGCCAGTTTTGAGGATATGAGCATGAACTTGCTGCGTTTGGGATAGCGATGATGATCTTGCAATGAGGCTAAGAATGGTGTTGGGCATAAGGCTATCCAATACACGTAGAGATTGAGCTTGTCTTGCATTCATGGAGTTCAGGAGTTCTCTGTAGTTCAATCAAACTATATGTTATATCAAATATAAATTGCATTATTCACAAAAGACCCTTTTTTTTTCTTTTCTATACATCTCTTTGTATTTATTTCATTTCATTCACCCAATGAAACCTTTTATATTATACAAAGCTATAAAAGGAAGAATTATATTTAAGAAACATCATGATAGAATGGTACGACTTGATACTATATTCAACACATTATTCATGTTGGATTACTCACAAATTATACTAAAAATCATCATGTTATCAGAAGTACGAACAAAAAATTGACCTATCTAGTGAAGGAGTGTCGCGTGACACCCCTGGGGTAAAGGATTGATTCGTCCCTGGCTACCACGTTGAATTCAAGCAACAATAAAGGTTTTTATTGGAAAACTTCACAGGAGCATACTAGGTTTCAGCGATTTCTGGCTGGAGAGAGGAAGGACATCCCTTGACTGAGTTTGTCTACAACATTTCTTGCTTTCTCACTTCAAGTACTTCAGTTATAAGCTTCTTTGACACGATCTGGTGAAAGATCTTATTTTCTTCGCCACATCCTTCCATCTGATCTGTATCCTGATCAGCAAAACACAGTCCCCGTTCATACAGGAAAGCATAATTGAGATGATCAAATCACAGTCGCATTAGCCTACACCTGTAACCATCGGGTCTCTGAATCCAAACAGTCCTGTATTCATTTGATAACAAATGCTATTATAATGACTAACAAAGATGATCTGGAACTTATCGAGCAGAGTAAACTAATTGAATGTAAAGTAAACAGAGAGGTGAAAGGCGAAGAAATATATAAAAGAAGTAGTTCTCACAGAATAGATCTCGATGTTTTTGTTTTCATTCGAGGGAAAGTAATTGGAAAGTACAATGATTGAAGACAGAATCGAGAACTTACTGGTGCTTTCTACTTGCTGACATTAGAATCTCAAGTTCTCTGTGACATTCAGCCTAGTAACAAGGGTTAAATGAACTAGCAATCTTTGACCTAATTCGAAGTTCGGGGTCCAATATGATTGTCTTACCCTCATAACACTGCAGTCACATTTTCAATCAAGATTCTCAACTTTCGTCTGCTTCACCATGTGCTATGAAATTATTTCCAGAATCTTTGGCCTCTGCCATAGTATCTTCATGGATCCATGCTCTTGTACTATTCTCAAGGCTTTGACTACCTACACATCTCAGAGGAATTTGAGAAGCATTTCTGAGTTGCATTGTTACACTGCTACCCCATTATCAAGTTCTACTGTAATTGTTCCTGAAGTTCAACAGAGCAGCATTAACTCATTTCTGTTTATTTTGACAAGTAAATTCATAAATGTCAGTATGCAGCACCAAGTAACATTATTTATGTCATTAATGAGAATATACACAGGACAGAGGAAAACAAAGTGGCCTTTACACTTCCTGATTGATCTCCGAGCAAATGTTCGCTTTTTAAGAACTGTAATAACTACTTTATGGGATATTCTGTAAGAGAGTTCGGCATGTTGTTAGAAGCATGAACATGAAGCAATTGTATCCGCTATTACCTAAAAGATTGTACATAACAAGACATGTTGTAGGACTTGTCGCGGTCCTGAGCAAGAGACAATGTGGAGTAGAAAATGTAACAAGCTCTTAGAAAGACAGAAGGTAGAACTCAAGGTACTTAAAATCAAGGTACATGAAATAGATAAAATATCGAAGACTTACTATCTTTCTGCATAAAGGTCCCTTCATTTCATAGCTAGATGCTTCTCTAGAGAATCTGCAAGATGGTCTTGATTCTCTACAAGTGCAAAAATCATCGGCAATTGGCACCAGTATTTTCCAGAACCTCTGGCCATTATGCTATCATTCATGTGCTATTCAGAGAGGCAGAGACCATGCGAGTAACCTGGTTCTAACCATGTGTTAGAAAGTAATAAAGTAGTCAAATCAGCCTTATAAGGCAAAGCCATTTGATGGATGACTATTATATAAAAAATGCTTGTGTATAAGCCAACAACCAATTTCGGTAGGAAAACATGCATCATCCAATCGCAACAATGTCCAACATGATAGTCAAGTCCAGAATGATTTCACGTTAGCACAGATAATTTAAACGAGTCTTTGATAGTTAACCATTGCATATATGGGAATATTTTTTGCACTACCAGTAGTCTCCACAGGAACAAGAACCATTACGAAAATGATGGAACCGATTAGTGTCTCTCAGGATGATTTCCCTGTCTACCACCTTTGAAACAAACTTAAATGCAGTATGGCAATCACCACAAACTCTGATATTCTTCTTTATTCGGATAGGGGATCCAGATGGAGAATTGAGAAGTGCAAATGCTAAAGCAAGTCGTTCACTATGGTATTGCAACCTCTCTTCCCTCTCCTGCTGATCCATAAACCAAAGCACGTGGCTAGTGTCTGGAACATAGCCAATTTCCTTAATTTTATCAGTTATCTTCTCCCACATGTTACGGATCTCCTCTCTCTGTGGATGAGCATCGTCATTTGCTACAAACATATGAACAGCATTCTCAATCTCCACCCAACTACAAGCAGGTTCTTTCTTAACTCCACTCTGGTTCATCATTTTTCTAACTCTTGCAGCATCACTTCTTCTACCAGCAGAGGCATAGATGTTGGACAGCAAAATATGTGGCCCCGAATCATGTGGATCAAGTTCAAACACGCGTTCAGCTGCATAAACACCCAACTCCAATTTTTTATGCATCCTACAAGCTCCAAGCAAAGCTTTCCAAATGGCTGCACTTGGTTCAATTGGCATTTCATTAATGAACTTTTCAGCACGGTCAAGTTGACCTGATCGACCAAGGAGATCAACAATGGTCACATAATGTGAAATATTAGGTTCTATTTTAAATTTCTTCATCAATTCAAAATAATGCATTCCATTGTCTAGAAGCCCAGCATGACTGCAAGCTGTGAGAGCACAAAGAAAAGTCACTTCATTAGGTTCAGGTCCTATCCTACACATCTCCTCAAAGCACTCTACGGTTTCTATTCCAAGTCCATGCTGAGCATAGGCGGTAAGCATCGAGTTCCAAGAGACCACATCCTTTTTCACTAATCGATCAAAAACCTTTCGAGCATCATCAATGCTACCAGACTTAGCATACATATCAAGCAGAGTATTACCAATAAAAGCAATAAGTTCCAACCCTGATTTGATCATATGAACATGCACCCATTTCCCGGGCTCTAGAGCTCCAATGTTTGCACAGGCTGCATAAACACTAGAAAACGTGAAGTGCGTCGGCTGAAAACCGCCTCTTTTCATCTCACAGAAAAGCTTCAGAGCAATTTCTCCCTCACCTTTCCTCGCATGCCCCGCAATCAAACCGTTCCACGAAACCTCATTCTTGCAACTTAACTTGTCAAACACGATCTTCCCTTCATCCATTAGTCCACACCTTGCATACATATCCACAAGAGCACTCCCAACATAAACATTATCTTCATATCCACACTTCACACATGCCCCATGCAATTGCCTACCCGTACTGTCACTCTCCAACGCTCCAGCAGCCTTAATAACACTCCCAAACGTAAACTGATTCGGCATAAACCCAAACCTCAACATCTCAGTAAACAAAACCAACCCCTCCTTAGCACCCTCATTCTGCGAATACCCAGTAATCAACGCAGTCCAAGAAACCATATCTCTCTCAGGCATTTCATCAAACACCTTCCGAGCATCACCCATACTCTCACACTTGGCGTACATATTAATCAACGTGTTATTCGGAACAGTATAATGACTAAACCTCGACCTCAAGAAGTGTTCATGAACTACTCTACCTTCTTTCAATCGTTTCCATTCCGTACATTTCTTCAGAAGCTGATTGTATAAACTAGCATCTGCATCCATTGCTCCATTATCAATAAGATATAGTACTAAAAGCTCCCCATTTGGAGCCTTTTTGAGAAGATCTTTGTCTTGTAAAACACCAATAGATGAACCAAATAATTTACGTACACCTTCATATCCTGCTGCTGCACATGTTGTAGAGAAAAATTGCCGAGCTATGGAGATGATTGAATTGAAAATTGATGGATTTGTGGCGCAATTTCTCAGGTGTATAGCCTTTGTCATCTCTCTCAATGCAAATGGGAAAATAACACTGTAATAGAACTCTGTTAACGGTTTTTTTTTTTATAACTAAACACATTGTATTACCAAAATGGCAATGTACATCTCAAAAAATAAACAACATGCCTAGGTAAACCAACCTGTAACCCGGAACGACAAGTAATGAGTCTTTGGCAAAGCCCCAGGTTCACCGGTTTCACTGCACCGGCTCAAGCAGGGGCGGAGCCACCTAGGTACAAGGGATTCATCTGAACCCCCTTTGACAGAACATTATACTATTTATACATGGTTAAAATAATATTTTTATGTATATATATTAGATGTCGAATCCTTCGGCTACTCAGTGTGTTTATTTCTACGAATTTTGAACCCCTTATTAAACATTCTGGCTCCGCCACTGGGCCCGAGATAGGGAGGAGGAGCCCCATGCATCACATGTATCTTCACAGACAGTGGGGTCGTAGCCAGCCCAGCCACCACCCGCACCAGTTGCAGCTCCTGATCTTCATGCCCTTCTGACTCAGATACTAGCCGCAACGACACTAGAGGTTCAACCACCACCAGTCCAGGATGTCACTGCGCGAGCAGAAGATGCTCGGGTTATTCTAGAGGTTGGCATCGCCTATATTCTCAAGGGCGATTGGTTAGGACGTTTACGAGTTCCAGCTCACTTTCAAGGAGCAACTACAGTCATTAGGCCTCTTGGAGTCGAGAGGAGCCGATTTCATCGCTCATCAGTTCCGTGGGCCAGCCAGGCAATGGTGGTGCTCGTATCGAGAGTCCAGGCTAGCTATATCGCCTCATATATCTTGGAGTCAGTTCTCAGATGCTTTCTTGGCCCGGTTCATGCCATGAAGCGTGAGGGATAGGTTTCGTGATCAGTTCTCCAGATTGGAGTAGGTCCCGATGACCATCTCAGAGTACGAGGCGAGGTTCCATGAGTTGTCTCCCCATGCTACCATGATCTTGCCCACGGAGGAGGAGAGAGTTCATTGTTTTGTACTTGTTCTGTTGGGAGCTCTGTATTAGTGACTTCCAGGTTCTGGAAGGGATCTTTATTTGTATATATTTTGGTTTGCTTCCGTCTGTTTATATTGTTATCTTAAATTTTGCCTACTATTTTTTAGCTTGTTGTTCCGGGTTATGGGTTGACTTACCTACTGATGGATTATAGTAGCTGCCGCCATGACTCGAGAAATCGGGTCGTGACAATTTCTTTTGAGCCACAACTCGTATACAGAAGCCACAAGTGTAATTCTGAAAATAGAAGCAACATTGCCCTTACCTTTTCATATAGTTAGTTTCATACCAATTTGTAGCTTGTCGATGGTTTCCTTGCCAATGCAATACTATTCTCCACACGTTTGTAGCTACAGAGCACTAACCACTTTGATAATGAATAACTACTTTGATAAGTCTGGATTCTAGTACATCACTTTGATCGTATACAAATTTTACCAGTACTTACTTTATAGAGGTAGAGAAACTACTTTTTTAAAAAAAAAAACAAGATATCAAAATTACCTCATGCACTCAGTTTCAAGTTTCAAGTTTCTTTTCGGTTTGTATACCTTCTTATTGTTTCATTTGAAATATATAATTATTCAAATGTTTCTAAGTGTATAAGCTTTGATTTCATATGAAATACATCATAATTTATTTTATTATATTCTCTAAAATTTTCTATCATTTGAAAAAAATTACAAAAATTCTTATTTTATGAGGATACATCACTTTACACCGCGTATCAGTCAAATACATCACTTTACTATATATTAGGACATACATGATGTATCAGATCGTTATTTACGTATCAGTTGTATATATCACTTTACACGATATATATATTAGGACATTAATTGATATATCCGAAGCTCGAGACGATGAGGAATGTATCCGAGACCAGTACGATAATTGGTGTTACCTCTAGTAAATATAATATTTTGAAACAAAAAAGAATAAGAAAGAGAGGTGAAAATTATGTGAACCATCGGTTAGAGAATTGTAACAGATTTAGCGTAAATGACGGTTTACCTTCCACGTGTCCGTTGGTTCTGAAGCTATCAACTGTCATTCTCCCTCCGTTTTAAATCCTTCCCTCCATTCCCTCCTCTCCCACTATCCGTTCACTTCTCCTCTCTCTTTCTTCTTTTTTTGGGTCTCCGCTTGGTACGTTTTTTTCCTTTTACATTTTCATTACAATCATTTTTTCCTCTCTCTCGAGATCTCGAGATCACCTAAAACTTATTTCATTTCTCTTTGTAGTTTAATTTGATCGGTTTGTTTTTTTTCCCTCCTCCTTGCCTCTACTTGCTCGTTATTTTCAGGCAGCACAAGCTCATTCTCTTCTTCATCATCGTCAAGTTTCATCCGTAAGTACACTTTTTCATATTATGTATGTATTTATCAGAAAGTTTATGTGTGTATTTATACTGGTTGATCAGCTAGTAGAAGGTTTCAGATTGTGGAATGAAATGAATTGATTTAGTTATATGTGAAACGAGCCTGTTTGATGATTTATGAGTATAGCTGTAGGACTGTACGTATACAAAAAGATGAAGTTTCAATCGGTTAATTTAAGATGCTAGCTAGGCTGTAAGTTTTCTAGTTTTTTTTGGATTTGTATGAATGTATGCATGAGTTTTTGTATATAATGATATTTTTGGATGTATATGTGTGTAACTTTCTGGAATGAATTCGAGTGATTTCGATTATGGTTATGTTTGATTAGGATGATGTAGATAGGTGCAGCATTATATGCCAGAGAAGATCTTCATTACATATACAGGTTCAGTTGTGAATGTTAAGACTAGTAATATTTGAATCTACATGTGTATGCATCTGTATTATGTGTTTAAAGGTGATTGTGAGCGTGTTTGATCGTCAAGTATATTCTGATGATGATTATGGCACTTTTGAGGTATAATATGAGATAGTTTTGAACAGAAATTGAAGGGAAGAGAGGGAGAAACGGAAAGGAGCTGGAGGAGCTGGAAGAGACCGGTGGTGTCGCAGCCAGAGCTACATTTAGTTAGCTAAGCTACCGACAGCACTGATTAGGAGAGGACAAAAAATAGGATGACGAATCCGGCGAGACCGGCGGAGGGAATGGACCCCCCCCAAACACCGGTCGGGGGCGCAGGGCCCTCGTCACTGACTAGGCGACCGTCACGAAGTGCCGCCACCACTACCTTCTCTATGGAGGTGTTTGACAACGAGGTTGTTCCCTCTTCTCTCCAGTCCATTGCACCAATCCTTCGCGTCGCTAGAGAAATCCAAAATGAACGCCCTCGCGTTGCTTATCTTTGTATGTCTTTGTCTCCTCCTACCATTACATTCAACCTCTACATACACATTAATCTCTGCAATTTCTTATTTTCCCCTCTTTTTCCTGTTTGATGTCGTTGTTACAGGTCGGTTCTATGCGTTTGAGAAGGCGCATAGATTGGATCCCACCTCAGGTGGACGTGGTGTTCGGCAATTCAAAACCAATCTCTTCCAACGTTTAGAGCGTGTACGTATGATTTGATTTGATTTTTTTATTTTTCTCTTTATATATTGTTTTCCCCTTATTACTTGTATTTGTTTTTAGATTAGAATTATTTAAACTTGAGGGAGTATATAAAGTGTAAGATATTGGGAAATGTAATAGGATTACTTCACTATTATTGGGGAAGAGAGTGATTAAACCGGTTCAGTTCAGTTTTTTAAATACTTCCTCAGTTTGATGGGGAAAATTTTTCTTAGGGCAGATAATTTTCAATGGAAGTTTTCAGTTAAAGTATGCAACAAAGCATATATTCAGATTCAAAGCATTGTAGTATTATTTTTCCAGAATTTCTCGGGTGTTTTATAACCATCAATTTCCGGTAGAGTATGGTTGAGTCAATTGTTTAGGAGGTCCTCAATATTCCCAACAAAGTTCCTTGTGCCCGATCATTAAGTATAGGGGTTAGCTAAACAAATTGCTTTCATTCAGGACAACGCGTCGAGTCTTGCTTCTCGTGTGAAAAAGACTGATGCACGGGAAATTGAGAGCTTTTACAAGCAATACTATGAGCAGTATGTCGTGTCTCTTAACAAGGGAGAACAAGCAGACAGGTAACTGTAACTCCCGTGGTATCATAAATATCCTCTTTATAAATTTACCGTGGTTTGGTACTAATTAGTGCAAGGTTTTTAAATCTTTTGAAAACAGAGCTCAGCTCGGTAAAGCATATCAGACAGCTGGGGTGCTTTTTGAAGTTCTTTGTGCAGTTAATAAGTCTGAAAAAGTTGAAGAAGTTGCTCCTGAGGTCAGTACTAATATTCAAACTTAGGTGCACAATTACTAATCTTCCACTTAAATGTCCTCAAATTTTCTGGCACGCACTGAAGGATTCTATGCAAGAACTTAATGGCATGAATTATTGAACAGATCATTGCTGCAGCAAATGATGTTCAGGCCAAAAAGGAAATATATGCCCCCTATAATATTCTACCCCTGGATTCGGCTGGAGCTTCTCAGTCCATTATGCAACTTGAGGAGGTACTACATAAACTCATACATACGGAAATATAGGCACATGTAGTTCGAAATAGTATGTCATTAGTCAAGATTTTTAGTTTTTCCTTAAATACTCCTCACCAGGTTAAAGCAGCCGTTTCTGCTCTCTCAAATACACGTGGGTTGAATTGGCCAGCTTCATTTGAACAGCAGAGGCAGAAAACAGGGGAACTGGATGTGCTAGATTGGTTAAGGGCAATGTTTGGGTTTCAGGTAACAGTTTCTACTTCAAAGAATGAGATTATAATTGCTTGAAACTCTACTCAGGTCTTTGGTCAGAATGAGAATTTGTTAACCTCTGTGTGCTATCTGCAGAGGGACAATGTAAGAAACCAGCGGGAGAATCTGAGTTTGCTCCTTGCGAATATTCATATAAGGCTAATCCCCAAGGCTGAGCCACTTAACAAGGCATGTATCATATAAAACTAGCTTATGTGTTCTGTATTCCCCATTATACTCAAAATCTAATATCTGATGCTCCTAGGATTTCTTATTCATTTTAGACCTTTTAGTTTATTCCTCAAGCGCATGCTTTGTATTACTTAATTTTCTTATCAGTCTCCTTCTGAATTGATTACTCTAGAATCTCGAGTAAATGCATTTTTTTTATTTTTCTGGATGTATTAATAGCAAGAAAGCAAGTCTATACAAGAAAGTGACAAAATCGAATATGTTCTTATAAACCATTGTTTCCAATGTAGCTTGACGATCGAGCTGTGGATGCTCTAATGAACAAGTTGTTCAAAAACTACAAAACATGGTGTAAGTACTTGGGGAAAAAACACAGTTTGCGGTAAGATATTGGCAATACATACACTTTCTTTCAAGCAGACATTATGCTTTTGCTGTTTTGGCTTTTAGAAGTGTATAAACCGTAGATATTGAGTTACATTTTCACGCAACAAACTTATTGCATTTAGGCTCCCTCAAGCTCAACAAGAAGCACAACAAAGAAAGATACTTTACATGGGCCTTTACCTTCTAATATGGGGTGAAGCAGCTAATCTCCGCTTCATGCCAGAGTGTCTGTGTTACATCTTCCATAATGTGAGTGCTTCATTAATCTTCTTTTATATCACCACTTCTAGTCTATAGATGTCAAAATTGTACTCCTTCAATAACAGACATTTGCCGAGGAATCCTTCCTTTAATGCGGAAGTAACTTCTACATTGTTGATGCAGATGGCATATGAACTCCATGGCCTCTTAGCAGGAAATGTGAGCATTGTCACTGGAGAAAATATCAAGCCTTCTTATGGTGGGGATGACGAATCATTCCTGCGAAAGGTCATTACTCCCATTTACCGCGTGATTGATAAGGTAATATGTCTCATATATCTGCATTTTCTTCCACTTCAACTTTCCTTTTTACAATGCTTGTTATGATGATTTGCTCTTCCAGGAAGCCAAAAAAAGCAAAGATGGAAAAGCACCGTACTCAAATTGGTGCAATTATGATGATCTGAACGAATATTTCTGGTACTTGTTTAATCAGAACAATAACTTCAGTGCTGTGATAAGATAAATAACAACATGACAAATGGTTTCATATGTAATCTTTGACTTTGACATACGTTGACAGGTCGCAAGATTGCTTTTCTTTAGGTTGGCCAATGCGTGATG